TGTTCCCTTAAAAATCCAGTTAACTTCATGTATAATAATTTAATTTTGTTCTCTTTCCTTTATTTTTTTTTTTAATTTAGACACTTTTTCTGTATCGAGACAAAATTGAAATAAAATTAGAATGTTCTTTAAGATCTATCATTCGATATCTAATGCATCAAGATATTTATTTCAAGTATCCTTTTATAGAAATTAAAAGTTTAACCCTTTATCTACCGACGGGGTACTTATAAGTACCAATCAGTTTAAAATTACATACAATAACCATTTCTACTAATATTCTAACGATACTTAGCACGAATATTCTTTGAAATCCACTCCTTCAAGATATATGGCAACATGGGTTCTATGATGAATATTTTAGAGGGGAAGGCGAATAGTTTTATAGCAGAAATTGAGCTTTCAGCTGACGGCGTTTTTAGCGGATTTCGAAGATTATCATTTTTGTCCCGAAAAAATAGTTAATGTCAAAACTTAAGTGTCTTAGTTTTTTCGTATGTTAATGAAGACCTTAGAAAACGATTTGACTATTTATTTTAAGGGAACAGGGTATATAATTAATTTTACAGTTGAATATCTTTAATTAATTAATTAGCTCTAACGGATTAAATTTCCCAAAGTTGAGTATTTTATTTATGTAATTGTCAATGTAGTGATCCAAAAAAAATATTGCAGTAAATTATAATGCGGTAGATAAAGGGTTAATATAGGAAGAATTTTTAATTGTTTATTTATATGGCTATTTAATTTTGTTTTTAATAAAAAATAATAATTCCAGTCATTTCCTTCCACTTGCAGTGCTGACAGTGAAAGCCCAGGCGTTTTCATCGTAAACCCTTTTCTGGAGTGTCGCGGGTTGGAGTCCTAATATTATTAAAGACCCGCTCGTAGAACGTTCAACCTGTCCAGGCTCTATGTTCTTCCACAGATGTGATGTAGTAATTTGGAGAAGGAGTGCCATATCATAAGTTATCCTCACCATTTGACTGCGGTTCAAAATTGCGAGGTCCGTCGCCCTCGTTCTCCACTCCACTTGTAGTTACGGCTGCGGTAGCCGAGTGGTCAAGGTATCGGATCATGGCTGCCTTGTCACAAGTTCGAGCCTAGTATCACTAAAGACCTGCCGTGTAGGGGAGTGCA